ACAGATTCATTATGTAGGAGAATTTTCCAAGAGAATGTCCCCTGACATTCAATGAACTTGGTTCACATGTAGGTTTCCTGCGACTTTTGTGACCACAATACTAATGTGCTTGTTTGTGCTACATTAAATGTTATGTAATATGTGAGGACAAATCAAGCAAACTGAAGGAAGGTAGGGTTTTTCAAATTTTTTAGAATCATGTGTATCAATGTTCTGTATGTGCTCTGTTTTTTCCAAGCATCATTCACTTAATGGGTGAAAGACATGTAGGAGGATCTGTGCAAAGGTTTTCTTGAACATTGTGGAATGTATGTGATGTGTATACAACCTTTCTGATCTCTTTAAGAACTACACTGTATACAACATTTCCCTTTAGTTGTTAGATCTTTGTACATTTAGCACTGGAATATAATTTGCCTTTTAATAACATTTAGGGAATATACCATAATACCTTGTCTTGAACTAAATGTAGACAGGAGCTTAGCCCACAGGCCCTGGCATCGCCATTGTTTATGTGTCTCTGCATAGCCAGAAGCTCTCTATTTAGGGAGGCTTCCAGTGACCCCTACGCCCCCCATCCACATCCTAGAAAACCTCTAAAATAGGGGCAATGATGTGCAGGGACAGTCCTTGGTGGCAGAAAATTAGTATTTGGTGCATGGCCAATACAGACTTTGAGACCCAGGGGAAGTTGTCATCTTAATTCCACTACCAGTCTGCTATGGGTGAAAGGCAACTGCCAAAATAAAAAATAGTTTGTGTGTGACTGAATCAGAGCCACATCTATATGAACATCTAAGTATGTTCTATATGGGAAAAAGTATTTGCAAACTTTTTGAATGAAACATCCCCTCAGAAATTTGACAGATAGTTTGCAATGGTCATTTACTTATGTAACAGCCTTTCTGCCCAGTGTTTAAGTGCAACAGACTTCTGGAAAAAAAAAACTTGCTTAAACAGTGCTAGATTACATCTGATCAAACTATAAACACAAAACGCTTGGTGTCATAAAGCCCACCCATGATTTAGGTTGTAATAATCAGACTCCTCCAGCTAATACTGTAAATACATCAGTTTATATAGGAAGAAAGTCATAATTATTAGCTGCTTAATATTTCACCATCACACTTTTTGTGGTGACCATTATGTGAATATCTGGCCTCTATTGCTTCACCATAGGGGTTAATGTACTGCAGATGCACAAACACCCAAAGCAACAAGTGTTTTACCATATTTAAAGGAATATTCCACTATCTACTATACACTTTCCTCATAGTTTATCTCATAAGGCTCCACAGTAAAATAAAGTCCAGAGATCTAGTTATCAAAGATTTGCTGGCCCTGTGCTTATGTTATTCTACCTTTTTTGGAGAGTTTTTTTTCCTGCTGCCTAAACAACAGCTCAAAAAGTATTTATTTCAGTGATTAGAAACAACTTTATATCAAACTACCAAGAGAAATCATGATGCATGAATGATAGGCATAAATGTGGTTTGCTACAGAGATTACTGTAAACTTTAAAGAGAGTAAGCATTAAAAGTAAATAATGCAGGCTAAATCTCATTTGCAGTGTACTAAGTACTTGGACTTAGGAGGTGCGATTAGATCTAAAAAAAATCAGCAGTATTATATAAACAACTAACTATTAGCTGAAGATATTTTTTTATGGAACCTCATATGTATTAGGGATAAGCTTTGGGTCCAAGTGAGCACATACCTAGCCTGTTCAGATTTCAGTGAAAATATGGTAAGCAAGGTGGTAGTCATAAGTCATAACCATATTTGGTCAATGATGTCGTCCAGGATCCCCACTGGCTTTTTTTTTGGATTCAGAAGCTGGGGGGAATCTGTTATTTGTAACAGGAGTAGTGGGGGAGCAAAAATTAAAGAAAGGTCCCCTTTTTTCACTTTTAAATGACTGCATTGTTCTGCTCCTGCTGCTTCACGTGTAGGTTTAGGGCATCCCTAAAGCATGTTATTTAAAGGATTTGTGCAATTTTTTGTTGCCCTTTAGGCTGCATTAGAAGACCCTCTCCCCTCTTCTTGGTATCTAAAAAAAAAAAACATTTTTGCATTGGTACATGTCCCCATGTCAGTGCAAAGCTGCCCACACCTTTTTTAAATAAATACTTGCACATTAACATTGAAACAGGCCACAAAAGAGAATTTGGCTCCCATATATTTCAAAGGTGTTTGCAAAGCATATGCAAACTTCCTGACAGGTTTGGGGCGAAAGTGCAGTGAACCCAACTTTGGATGGTGCGCTCATCACTAGTGCTTCTAAACAATAGCAGTCTGTAGGAAAAGAGTATTTATAATATCTCAACAAACAAAAGCAGGTAGGACTCCAGAGTACATTTAGCTAAAATCATTGCAGCATACTATAGATATTTTTTTTCATTTGGGGAACCTAGTTATATTTTATTATGAAAATAAAATAATAATTCTAAATTGAGCCTATGGTAAATTCATCTGATTATCACTTTTCCATTATTGTGCTGCAATGCTAGCTTATTTTATCCTGCAATATCACATTTCATTTAAACAGTTTAATTATATCCTGCATAGGTAAAAGAGGGCTGCATGGTCCAGTTAGATGTGTGACAATTTTATAATTGTTGCATTTAGAGACCCAATTATCTTCTCAGTTTGCTGGGCATAATTGTTTTCCATGCCAAACTGAGCATATATTCACAGATCTCCAAACAATAATATGAAAACAGTAATGGAGATTTTTAAGTCAAAGTTTCGATGTGCTGCAGTCTCATTTTGTATCTGTATGGTGAATGCACAAAGAATGTAAAACTTGAAAAAGAGATATATTGGTCATGCTTAAAGTAGAACTCAGGGCACACATGTAAATAAATATATTAAATTAGTAGACTAAATAAATAGATTAAAAGAGAACTATGGCCTAACCTTTTTTAATATACACCAATGTCCTCTGACTCATGTCCTCCAGTGACCCAAAACTCACTATATAGTGGGCTATTGCCCGATATATGCTCATAGCAGAGAGCCGCGCCGCAGCCGGGAAGGATCCCGACAATACTGTTGAGATTCACCCCGCTGGCTGATTGCCAGCTCGCTCTGCCTATCTAGAGGCAGAGCCAGCTGTGGCCCCCCTTCCCCCCTCAGCACCAGAGAAATGGAGAAGGGAGGGGGAATCCCTGTCAGTCACCGCTGTCTCAGCAATTGGCAGAGTGTTTGCTGACTTCCCGATCAAAAGAGCTGACCTGTGCCAGATTCAGTGCTTGAATTATGGGGATAAGTGTATTTCACTTAACCCATAATTCTCCTTTAAATAACAACAAAGTAAATTACAGAATTATTTTTCTGGTTGATCAATGCAACTTGCTATATCAAATGACCACCTCCAGCTTGCTCACTGAAACATGTATTTATCCGTATTATGTAGTTATCACTGTAGCAGAAAGCTGAACCATGAAGTTGTAGTGGGATCGTCCTGGATGTGTAGTGTGGCAGGGGTGTGTAAATTACAAGGACAGCTGAACAAATTTACAAAGTTTTTCATAGGTGAAAACTAAAATACAGTATATATCTATTTTAACCTCATAGTAGACTGTTTCCCAGAGGTTCACTTTACAATTATGTGATGTGTCGTCTAATGTTTGTTTTTTCTTATCTCATTATGTGAACTGCCTTACCAACCCTGTAAAAGTCTGCATAAGGCTTGCCTTTCTGGTGTTTTAACCATATACTTTATATAGTATTTTAAGACGTCTTGGTCATCAGTGACCAGAACCTTAAAGAGGACTTTACATCAAAAGGTCTTTAACGTAATTCAGGCACTACAATTTATGATTTAAATTGTAATTAAAAACTAGTCAAGGTAGTCAATCAATGTTTTCCTTGCAGTCAAAATTTTCTCTGTGCTTCTCCACTCCTACAATGTAATTTTGGATTCCGGAATATCTGAAGCTGGCTGTTACTTCTTGAGTTCCACAGCTGGCCCCCTGGTGACACACCGTAATATCCTGTGCATGCGCACATGGTGATTTAGATGCCCATCATTTACTTTTGAATTACAGACCTGCTGACTTCTGTGATATGTGACATGGATATCCTGATAAGCTGCGGAGAACACGTCATTGTTTTCCAAGCGAGAAACAAAGAAGTGAAAGTATGGCAGATTTAATATAAACTGTTCAGAATATTAAAAAAAGAAAATGTATTACAATTTAGCAAGGCTGAGATCAAAGGAAGGCAATGTGATAAAGCTGAAGTCTGTCCTTGTCACAGAGCATGTGTTTTACAAATTATTTTGTATTGTATTTGTAAAATGTTGCTTAAGCCATCGCAGTGTTTGGAGAAACTTCTGCCACCTATTGCTTGTTACCTAGCCGGGGGATGGATGTTTGTGGCCTAGACATTTGAAAAGTTTTGTCCTCACAGAGGGTCTTCCTGTGGGTATGCCTTGCGCTATGGTGATGCAAAAAAGGCATTCTTTGTGAACACTGTTTTGATCTAACTCCTGAGTACTTTGTTATCATTAGCTAAGTGTTTGTAAATAATATGGATATTTGGGCCTGGAATCTTACCCTGTTTCCTGATCCTTTGACAGTCCGCTTTAAGTGGCAGCATAATATTATGTAGTAAAACTGCTCATCCATTCAGAACTCTGTTGATCAGCTTGGCGGCTTTCACACTAAGGAAGGTCTTCAGTTCCCAACTTTCTTTATGACTCTCTGCTCTAAACTGCTGTCACTTGAGGCCCAGTCTAAATGAGGGAGCAGCTTTACCTACGGTACTGCCATTCGAACTCCTGGTCATTCCACTGACCAGAGGTCTACAGGGGGAGGGAGAGTATCAAGAATCCTGCGGGATTTAAGACTCTTGGAAATTATTATCTTTGCAATGATGCAATTCTTATAAAGTTATGATGTAATTGCTGTATTTCAAATATTTTCGGTATTTTTTAAATGTATATATGTAGTGGAAAATATTTAAATGTTATCTTATTTTTTTTTTTTATGCAGGAATGTCCACAACTTTTACAAACTGAAAAGATCCTGATTCCCGTTGATGTTGTTAAACCCATCACATTAAAAGCAAAGAATTTACCCCAGCCCCAATCAGGCCAGAAAGGCTATGAGTGCATCCTGAATATCCAGGGCAATGAGCAAAGGGTGCCAGCTTTAAGGTTCAACAGCTCCAGTGTTCAGTGTCAAAACACCTCTGTAAGTGCTATGTCAATTACACTACTATAACACACATATAGGAAAACATTTCTGTCTTATCTACACATTTCAATGACTATTTTGTTTTTGTTTCTGTTTTTGTTTAGTTCCTTAGCATTTGTAAGTACTGAAAAGTAGCTTTATGTTTTCCTTCTGAGATGCCATTCATTGCCTGTCCTTATCACATTTACAACTGGGGTTTTCAACAATTGTGACTCTTTCTGTAATAAATTAAATATCTACAAAAGTCCTTACAAACCAAGAAACTTAAATGAAAAGTAAAGTCCTGCTCCAAATGTCTTCATGCGGTACTGCAAATCGGTTAATGCTTCTATACAACCCAACACTCTCATCCCACTGTTTGCAATAAAGATGATTTACTAAAAAGGTTACGATTATTTACTGAAAAAAAATGTGCAAATATTCACTTCATTTATCCAGACATATGAAAAGCAAGTTCCTGGCCATTTGAAATACCCAGTTATGTGGTCATGTGCAGAAGTTTTTCATATAGGATAGCTTAAGTGTGTACTCAAACTTTTATACTCAAATTTTTTTTCTGTGAAAATTCTCAATTTCATTATATATATTTAATTCTAAAGGAATTAATAGGTTATTAATAGGTTGTGTTAAAAACGCTGTGTGTTATCTGACAGATTATTGTGTATATTATGAATTGATTTTATAAACTAGGACTCCACACACTGATATAACCAAAAGGATAGGTAAATATAGTTAAATATGTTACATACTTTTGTACTATACAAATGAAGGGAGGTAACAGAGGAATTTATAGTTAGAACAAAGCCTGACATCTCTTCAATCCCATGTTACGTGTACATATCGGAGATCCAGTATACTGTATGCATAGAATAAAGAGGTGAGTGAATATAGGGATTAAGGTTGTCATCACTTTAGCTGTGACAGTCTGGTATTTAAAGCTTTTTTGGTATTATAAAACTGTCCTTTTAAAGGTATCCATTTTTATTTAATAGGCTCTTAGTTATTTAACTTGCTTACATGCCTAATTAGGTCATGCCTTTTAACTCCCTTTCTGTTAATAATTATTCGAAAAATGAGTATTTTAGGGAAATAAGATCAATTAATTATGCTTATTGGATTATAAAAATCTGCTATTATTATAGATATGAAGTCGGGGGTTAATGATTTGAAAAATTAAGCACAAATTGCATACTTGTATAGCAATGTCCTTAGACAGGGAATAATATGTAGAGTAAAAACGTGATAAGCATCTGCCTATATTACAAATGAGTGGTTTGTTATTGAGGTGTCATGTATATATGTTTATTGGAGGGTCTTTTTATCAATGTGTTTGCCCAAGAGTCACACAACTTTCACTTAAGATTCACCCATTTTCACATAAGATCCAGATATAAAAACAGGTGAACATATATCTGAACACTTTGACCTGATGTTTCACTTAAGATCTGCTTTTCTGCACCCTTCATACTGTTTGCATCTATCCAGAGGCTGCCAAAGATGGCAGAAATCAAAATGTGTGCTGAATTTATTTTGCCAATCAGTGTCTGCCCATTTAGCAATCCAACATATCACCATAACAATGATTACTTGTTAGTTTGTGGTGAAAATATCGGATATTTACTAAGAACGATGTCACGGGTCAGATCAGTTGGTAATGGTCATAAGCTCTTGGATACAATTCTTGGAGGATAAACACTACTATATAAAGAGAAGTGTTTATTTTGCCAAGCTAAAACGCTGCAATTAGCATAAAAATTTCAGTAAAAGACTGTTTAACCAGGATTCTGCAAGTTTAGATGTATAAACAAAATTGAGAAACGAATGATCATCAGATCTCTCAATGACCTTTATCCAATTTTCTGTTCTGATTTCAAATGTCAGCTGAAGGCTATTTTGTCCTCTGTGTAATCACTTCTTCTTTGTGCTACACATGGCAAAGTGCAAAATAATTGTATAAGAAGTAAATGTGTAATTGGATGTAACACAAGAAATGTGGAGAGATCATGGTGCCCTGCAAGAGACACAGAAAATCAGTCTTCTTTCACTTGTATTTCAGTTTGGTTTGTTCATTTGACCTCACAGAGTAAATGATTAAAAAAAAGAAAAGCATGCTAAAAGAAGGTTATGATTCAAGACTTACCGTTATAGTTTTTATGAAACCGCCACCATGGATGTTGTATGATTTTGTGGATTATATGAACCGTTCACAGAACATAATGTGACGACAGATTATAACCATTTTGTTTGTAATATAAAGACAATAGAATAAGTATACAGTCTTTGATAATGCTCTATAATACATCACAGTTCTTCCTTTAGTAAGCTAAGCCTCAGTAGATACTACTTGCTACCCAACATTTTATCCATTATTGACCCTACACAAAGAGCATACAATGGCATTGTTGCTGTATTTATGTTAGTATTTTTTATATTATTTTTGTTGCTTATAGAAAATATAACATATTTTAAAAAAAACCTACCTAATATAGTTATAAATAGCGGCTACTTACATTTTAAAAAAGTATGTAGAGCCTGCACTATATGGCCATTTTACTTGCCATTTCACAGTGATGTTTCATATACCATTCTTATTAAATATGGTTACAATTTTGTGAGTGCACTTGGGTTATTTTGTGGGCTTTTCATTAATCCTAGCAAGTGATTGGGCCAAGTTTGGCATTAGCCTGAAAATCTATTCAGGGCAAGCAAGATTTTCCCTGTAGAGCATGTATACTAGCCTTAGTACTTTCATAAATACATAAAATATGAAATAAAATATGGGGTTGGATAACATTGGGATATGTCTGTCCTCTGTAAACTAGTGAATAGCCGCTCCAGTAGGACGTAGTGAGGGACACTACGGTTTAGTTAGCCTCCTAAGGTGGAGTAGGCCTTTTTATTTGTGTTACTTTTTCATTGGATGCAATAAAGCTGCATTTATTGCCATTACTGTTTAAAGACCAGTGACTTTCCTACACTACTTTATCACATTCTTTGGCCCTATGGGTTTTGGGCTAAGGAGGGGATCTTTTCATCTCATACCCCCCTGGCACCACTGTTTAATAACCCATGCTTCCCACCGGGATTACAGTCTAAAGCATTTCAATGGTGGATGGACGAAGGTCTGTATAGGATTGCAGACTTTATAATATCGCATAAACTAATTTCGCTTCCCCATTGCTTAAATACTTTGCAGATGCCGCAATCGGAAATTTTCAGGTATAGACAGATACTGCACTACTTGAAATCGCTACAGATTCCTGAAAGTGGGGCCCCGGTATTGACACAGTTTGAGCGGTGGTGCCTGCGGGGGTCTGACCAACGGGGGGGGGGATATCCTCAATATATGCTGTACTACTTGGGCCATTTACGAAGTTAACATATATGGCTGCGTGGGAATCCGACTTAGGGGTTGCCCTCTCGTTGGAAGAATGGCAACAGTGCGTCTCAAGGCTGAGGATGGGAATCCCCAATGTCTCCCTACCGGAGGCTAATTATAAAGTTTTCTCGAGATGGTACCAGGTTCCAGTTAGATTGGCAATCATGTTCCCTGGGACGAGCCCCTTATGCTTTAGAGGATGTAATCAGCAGGGTTCTATGATCCACATTTGGTGGCAGTGCCCAAAATTGGTTGGCTTCTGGAATAGGCTTTTTGCCCTGCTCTCCGAGATCCTCCAGCTCCATATTCCTAGAGATCTGCAACACTTTCTACTGAATAAACCAGTCCCAGGTATCTCAAGAGCTCAGGGCAAACTCCTGTTCTTTTTTTTTTAGCAGCAAAAATTACCATAGCCCGATCCTGGAAATCAGAAAGGGTACCATTCTCCATGGTTTTGTCCAAATTAAATTGGATTATGATCCATGAGAAGCTTTATAGTATTTTGCAAGACAGATGCACTAGCTTTGAAGAAGTTTGGAAACCTTGGCTGATGTATCAAGGGATAGCAAACCCTTCAGGTGGCCTGCCTGTTTCTTCAGGATAAGTTATGGTGTGTTTTTCTAGGAACCTATGAGTCCATAAATTAGCAATATTGTGCCTTATTGTTTCATCTTTTATATATTTTTTTCCCCTTTTTTCTATTTATATATATATATATATATTTTTTTAAAATGTATTTATTTATTTTTTCCTTTTTTTTTCTTTTGAAGCTAGCCGAAGGATCGGCCGAAGCTACGGCCAGATCCTTCGGCAGCTTCGTGAATAGACCCCTAGGTCTGTCATGTAAGAAGTTTAGTGTTAACTTCTGTTTTGACAGGTGCCTCAGGACCCAAAAGTACCTATATGTACCCAAAGGCATCTAGTATACATATCTGAGCCCTGGTTAGTAGGAAATAATTTTTCAATTATTCTGTTTATGTTATTGTTATGCAAACTGGATTTCTTGAAAGTTGTATCTAAATGTCCCTAGGTGACATTATGGGTCCTCGAGACCCCTGTCTCCATAAAGAGGACCTGTCATGTAAATTGGCTATCCCATAGGGGGCTTCTTAGCCCCCCATGTAATAGCAATAAAGTTGTGTGTGTGTAAAAAAAAAAAAGTATTAAAAAAATGTAATACAAAAATGAAAGATTGATTAAAAAAATAAAGAAGCATAACATTTATTTTTAAAAAAAAAATTTTTAAGTCCGCGCCCCCCACATACACACGCATATATGCGTCAGGTGTGCCTACGTGCCGCACATGTTGCATATCGCCGCAAACAGACTGAGAGCAATAATTTTAGAGCCATTAAGGCCAGGTTCACACCTGGGCGTTTTACATCGCTGAACGACGCGCTGTAAAATGCCCTGCAAGTGAAATCCCATTATTTCTTATGGGCATTGTTCTCACTTGGGCATATTTCAGCGTGTCGGAACGTGCTGAAAAACGCCCTATGCCCAAAGAAGTACAGGAGCTTCTTTGGGGCGTATTTCCGCGCGTATCCATTAGGATACAGCCGGATAGCCCTCGTAAACACGCGTTTGACGCGCGTTTTGTGGGCTGCAAATCGCGGTT